CATTTTTGTTACGCACAGTGCCACGAACTTTGTCAAGTCACATGAATTCAAAGCGCAAATGTAATCTCAATTTAGAGTCATCAAAATGAATTTTCATATTCTATTTATCACTTTCTGTCAAATTATACAACAATTGTAATTGTAACAGAAATTCAATCTAAATGGTTGCTAATAATTTATTAATAAAAATCTATGATTTATTAACATTAACATTCACACATAAATGCCTTTTTTTATTTCTCGTCTCTTAAATTTAATTTGATTTTAAATTTAATGTAAACTTGACACAGAAGACCTTAGAAAAGCCAAAAGTCGATTTTTTTGTTTTCTCCTTTTTTTCGGGTTTTATGCGTGGTTTTTTTTTTTTTTAATTTCTCGAAAATTATTGGTCTCAGGTAATATCATTCATTTCGACGCGCACAACTGGAAATTCTGTCATTATGACTGAATTTCAAGGAATTCTAACAGTACAGTCTGTTGATGTCGCTGCACCGTTGGTGTGAACCAACGTCCTCCACCTACATAATCATAATAATCGTAATCACAAACCGTGTCACATTACTACGACGGTAGTTATGCCGTACCGTCTTCATTTCAACGGCTCTACCCTGAGGGAAAAATTTTCTTTTCAAAAATACGTGTCAAGAAACACATGACTCGAAAATTGACAAGACATTACATTGACAGGTGAAAATATGATGCATTAACTTTGTTCATTTGGTGGGGGGAAAATTGCGATACAAGGGTTCATCTGCTTCGCCTGGTAATCATCATGATTACCAAGTGAAAATTCGCGTCACAAGAAGTGCGAACGAGGTCAATTGCGTAAGACGAGAAGAATCGCTAAGAGATTCTGAACTGAATCCCCTTTCAGTCCTGGGATAATAAATCATGAGTTTTCCGTATTACATTCACCCAAAGAATACCTCGGAGAAAATAATTATCCTCCGATTATTCTTTCCTTCTTTCTAGTTTTCGTTTTCAATTCTGTCGAATACAATCTGCAGCAAGATTTTGATTTCAATTGCACTTTTTGATTACTGAGTGATAAAATTATTCTGACATTTCAGATTTTATTTCAGACGAAGGAGAGAGTGGAGGGAATATTATATTTCTCTATCGAAGCATTAATTTATTTTCGTTCAATATTTTTGAATGGATTCATCTAATCATCTTCATTTTTCAAAATTTCAGGTCGTCTTCGGAGAATAATTGCAATTAATTTCTAGATTTTAATTATCAATGAAAGGACACACTCATAATTTACACGATGAATTCCCAAGGCAATGTAATTAAAATATTTGAAGCTTACACTCAGGAAAAAAAAACATTTCTCTCCAGGACATATTTTCATAAAAATTCGATTTTTCCTGAATCCTCTCCACAATAAATTCAAATATCTTCCAAATATCTTCTAACTCAAGGCGATATTAAAAAAAAAAAAAAAAAAAGAATAATCAAAGGAGTGTACCTAAGGACACGTTCCATATAATCATTCTCTAAAGTACATAATCATTATCAAAGCCTAATCACAATCGCCTGGAAATTACCCAACTGGAAAAATAACCTTTTGAAAAATACATACTCCTCTCAAAGAGTATTTTTTTTCTCAACGCCATGAGGAAACGGCTCGAGGTGGAAATATGCTATAGGACCGAATATTTTTCCCGAGGAAATTAATATTTGGGAATATTTAGTGAATATTTTAGCTGTCAGTGTCAGAATAGAATAGAATCATCCTCCAACTCTTTACCACGCAATCACCATCGATAATGTTACAATGGCAGGACGTGTACTTATACGTGCATCAATCGCCCGAAGACACTCTGTTGCAACTAGTCTTATGTAACCGACGGATTAACAGGCGGTCGAGAATATAATCATCCCAAGTGCGTAGTACCCTTGTACTCCATCCAACGATCATCGCCGATGTAATAATTACACAAACGTAAATGTGACATGTACGGTTTGAAGTTTTCAATGCTCTAACCATTTTTTGGTGAAAATTTCCAGCGCACGCCATTAAAGTTTTTTTTAATTAAATTAGGATAAACATTACTATCTATTTTTTTCAGGAATCTTCGCTCTCTCTTTTTTTCGCAAACATTGATGACCGAGAGGACGAGATCAGAGGTAATTATTAATGGTTCCATCATCGTGTGTTGATTTTTTCTTTTTTTTTT